AGGGACCAGCCATTGAGGCACGAGCCGCGGAGGGACCAGCCATTGAGGCACGAGCCGCGTAGGGACCAGCCGTGGAGGGACCAGCTTCCTCATCCATGGAATCCTGCACTTTTTTTAGGAAGAGCACAGAGGCTGGTGTGTTTAGCCTTTTCATGAAGGGGTACACCAGCGCTTTCCCCAGCTCCTCCAGAAAATTCCTCCTCCTGGAACTTTTCCCCTGTCTCCAGGTGGGATTGATTTCCCTCCACAGCACAAATGAATTGTAGGCCAAGACATTGATTATATTGAAGAAGAGAGCCATGGGCCAGCGAGCTGTCTTCCGTCCACATTTGTATGTTGCAACAATCTAGAATATTACACACACACACATGCACAATTTTTGTATATATTCTGTCATTTAGTGCAATTTACTTCTTTTTTTTCTAGTTCATTTCAAATTCAGTTTACCATTTAGCTTAGAATACAAGTTATCAAATATTATACAATTATTATTAGCAGTGAACAAATACAAAGTAGCACATACCTTGTCCCGATTGTCCACTCCACCTTTGGTAGTGTTGTAGTCCAAAATCATTGTCGCCTTTCTGTCCTCACGTTTACTTACTGCTGCATCCTTGTGTGCGGTGCTCATAAGAATCACGTTCTTGTTCTTTTTTGGGCAGTAGGACACGATGGTGTGCGTCTCGGTGAACGCAAACAAAGATGAAAAACGAGTCTCGTTTCTTCTTGTGATCAAAGCACTTGGGAGCTCTGGCTTGTTTTTTTCTCACAGTTCCTATCATCCTTATTTTTCTCTGTAAGAGCTCTGTGCCTAGACCATAGGAGGTGAAAAATTGTCACACGTGACAATGTGCCCCTAAAGATCACGTAGCATTTCAAGCACCACACGTTGCCCAGGTTTCGCTCGTGTTGTGCTTCTGCAGGTTTGCCAGTGTACACCTGCATATTGTAGCTGTAGGTAGCTGCTTTTGGCATCACAGGCTGCCCAAATTTTGAGACCGTATTTAGCTGGTTTCCTCGGCATATACTGCTTGAACGGGCAGCGGCCCCTGAACCCAAGCAAGATTATACATCCTGGGAAGCCTTTCTACCCATTTTTTCCCCACAGTTCACGGATGGGTGCCAGCTTGTCCGTTTCTCTTCTTTCAGCTCTTGTTGATTTGTCATCAAACAGATCACACTTGACAATCTCTCAAAATCTTTCAGCGGCATGGTAGCCCGAAAAATCACTCTCCCCATCTCACCATGCCACAGGCTTTGTGTTGCCTCATCATGGGATTTAAAAACTCCGGCAAGGATGAGAAGACCAATAAAAACTTCCATTGCAATCCAGTCAATGTCAGTCCACTGATCACCAAACACTCGACGCCCCTCTAAATTTGTCATTCTGACTAGAATGTTTTGAATTGCGCTAGGAAAATATAACTCAAATGAACAGGCATACCTTGTGGGACCAGGGGCCTCATTTATAAAATGTGCGTATGCACAGATTTGATCTTAGAGTGTGCGTACGTGAAAATCCACGGCAACGTTCATATTTATAAAAACGGTCTTTGACGTGGAAAAATACTTACCGTCACTTCAGGGTCTGAGCAGACTTACGCACTTTTCCTTGTGGCAAAGTCGGAGTACTGCAGCTATTTGAACATCTAAGCTGCAATAATAATAAAAGCACCGAATTCATCATGAACAACAAAGAAGCAGAGTAAGAGATTAATTGTGCAGTGTAGTCAGATTTTTTATTAACGGGAGTTTTTGCGAGATTAAACTGACCTTTTTAGTAGCCTAATGTTGAGAGTTCTTTACTCGCTTTCTGTACACAGTTTATTCAGTTTATTCCATGTTGTTGTTTTTTTTATTATTTTATTTTACGAGAACTTGCGAAGTCTTGATTTACTACTAATGTGTAAAATAGAAAAAGAAAATGCATAAACGCATCTCCGACTGTTTTGTCTGTAGCCTATAAGAATAGGCCTATGTC